AAGGGAGGGTTGGTCATTTGTTTTAACCCTCAATTCGGGGCGGTTAGATTAGTTTCTTACACAAAGTTGGTGGCGTTTTACAAACTTGACCAATCCCCCCGAGGAGCTCGGAAAGGAGCGCCCTGCTCTAGTATTTGAAAATATGCGTATAAAATCATGCAAAATTCTTGGAATATGCAAATGTCATGCTTTAATGAAACGACCATTTTTTTGAAAATTTTAAGATACATGAGGACCTCTTCACCTTAATATATCCTTCCACCTGTCTATACACAAGTAGTAAAATCATTTAGATTTAGTGGATTTTTATGAAACTAGATGCCGGTCATTAATAACAATTGGCCCGTTTGGCCAACACATTATCACAGGTATGAGCATGACTCAAGAGACATCTGCATGCTGCAGTCCTCTGTGTAAAAAATGATGCAGTGATCAAACATATGCTAATTAAGTGATGATAATTTTTGATCACTAGGGACCCCTAAGTACTTAGTTTCATTGTCTGTGTGAAGAAAGCACTCAAGACTTTAGATGCTGAAGTAGAACAGACTGCACCAGTGATTTTACTAGAAACCCATGGCTGAACAAAACACAGTCATTGGTTATCATCTTTAGTTGGTTCCTGTTGAACCTGCTCTTCCCCCCCCCCCCCTTTCATTGCACTCTGGATGCATTCACAGTTTGGTTTATAAATTTTACTTCAAACAATGAAACAGTTACTGATACAAGAACATATCACAAATCACATAGCTGTATTCAGCCTATATTGGTACAAATAAATAATTTTGTTTTATGTAAGCTTTATTTCCATGCAGATGTTATGGGAGAGGCAGGTCAATTTTACTCTCTCAGTACAGGTTCTTCTAATGCCATTTAATTTTTCTTGTAAGAAATAGTACTGAGTGATGCATGATCCAGCTGTGTTTCTCATCTGAAGATGGAGAATCTTCAATGAGTAGTATATGACATGCAGACATATTTTGGAGAAAGATTGCTTCATTCATTACACTTTTTGTGGTTCTGCATAGAAATGAGACAGCAGCCACAGGCACCATTAGCACTCTAGTGTAAAGATTGTGTATTCCTATACATGAATGTAATCATGTATAGGAATGCACAGAAATAAAAACATGATCTATAAGCACTGCATTAAGTATTAACATGAAATATTAAACTAGACATGTACAGTGTATATGATATGCTGAACACTTCAGAAGCCTTGTTTTTATTAATTTGCAAAAATTTAAAGTAATTATTTTTGCAAGACTGGTTAGAAATTTTGTGGTAAGTACTATGTACTTTCAGTCTTTAATTTTGTGTCTGTGTTTTGTCATTTAATATCCTTTGTGTTTCTGAGTTTTTCTTTCTTTTCTTATTCCTAAGAATGGGTGGAATTAGTGCTGATTTATGAAAGTGATTCTCTCTTTTGGGTACTGTAGTGTGTTTACCTTTTTGTTTTTTGCTGACATCAATTGACTCATACTTCATTATAACTATAGTTCTTTCCATTGGAGTGTATATATGTGTTAGCAAGAATTTAACATTGTTCCTGTGCCTCTGCTTTTATCTTTACATTTTATGCTTTACTGCATCCCTTTTCATGGGAGAGGGGAGGATAGGATGATGTAAAATTACTTGACATATATATGTGAAAAGTTAAAGATGTTCAAAATATGTTATTTAATTGGACCTACTAAGAACTCCCATTTCATTGAATTGAACACAAGTATGTGTAAACAAATTACAATTCTAATTGATTATTAATTATAATTTAATTCTTCTGAATCTACTTTTATTAGCTTGGTTTTCATTTTATTGGCATTTCACTGTATTTTATAAAATAATTCTGCCAAAAATTAATAAGAAACATACTAATGAGATGTAATTTTACTCAAGTATATTTATGTTATTAGGGGCAGTATAGGGGTACTGTGATTATGTGGAGCATTTCTTTATAGACATACCAACTCTGCGTATGAATATGCTCTGTGTGTTTTGCTGTTAGTAGAGAAGTACAAAGCTGGACACATAATGCCAGTTTTATACTGTTAATAAACTAAGTACCCAAAGAATAAATTTTATTTACATAATACAAAAAATTAAATAGGGTGGATGAGTAGAAACAGAGCAATGAATAGAGGTAGAAAAGTTGAAGGTGGATCTAAATTTTACCTAGACCAGTAGAAACCTCTGAGATGCTGAAGTTCATTTTAAGTGTGCATTTGGATCTGTGCACACAGATTTTGTCATTGGCCACTCTTGATTCTCTTATTTCTCGCATCCTGTCATGTGTTTTATCAATTAACATAATAATGATTAATGTGCAGAAGTTCAATTTACAGAGTCATGTCATATTCATACTTTACTCTGACCGTCACTTATATTATGTCTCTTCCTGTAGCTGAGAAAGTAGCAAAAGAAAAGCTGAAAGTGTGTTAGAAATAGCTGATAAAAGTTAAAAGCCTTGTCTTTGAAAAAAAAATCACTTTTGTTCATAACTTTTGATCAAGCCTGCATTTAATCCTTTCATCATTGTCTTTCTTTGCAAGCAGCCTGATGATGAACTTTTTTATTCCATCAGTGAATCACAGTAGCAAAGGGTATCTAGCATAGTTATACTTAGTCTAGTAGTAATTAAAAGAAAAAGAAGACAACATGATGACTGTATAAACAGAGAATTACTTTGTAGGATTTGTGAGTCCAAAAACGGCTGTCTTCTGGGTTGTAGCACTGTATAATTTGGTATGTTTACCAATGTTTCAGAGGTCCTTGCTACCTCCATCATCAGGGTGATGTGTCACTCATCACCCTGATGATTTGATGACCCTGAATAACCTTTGAAACGTTTGTAAACTTCTACCAGACTACATGGTGTAGCCCAGAAGACAGCCATCTTGAGAGAATTACTTTGTTATTTACGTGAAAGCAAAACTGTGTAATGGTACATAATTTCTTGAAGTGATAAGGTTTCATGAAAGTGTTTATGGAATTGGAATACAGAACCAATAATCTTCTTCTTTTTCTGGTGTTGAAATAGGCCAACAAATGACCTGTATCAACCTTGAGATAATAACCATTTGGTAGTCTCTTCAGCGGCAATACATAACCACTGAGATTATTAAATCCAATTCTTTAACCTTAAGTTTATGATGTAATACATGTCTTTGATCTGCTTTTTTTATACATGACTTTAATGAGGGAAGTCTTTGGCAGTATGCATAGTTATTGAAGTGAACAGAAGCACACTATATTTTCAAAATTCACAACATTCATATTGAATGCTGTAACTTGTGAAGAATACTGGTCATACATCATATAATTAGTCATTGTGCTTAATTCAGTCTGGTACTGGAAAAACAAGGTGCTGGCATAGGTCAGTCAGTAT